ATATATATATATATATATATATATATATATATGTATGTATGTATGGATGCATGTACGGCCAAACAAAACGCAGAAAACAAACAAAGACAGATAAATAAACAAAGAAAGATAAACAAACAAAGACAGATAAATACATAAATAAATAAATAGGGACAAACAAAACAAAGACAAACAGATAAACAAATAAACAAATAAAAAACAAACAAGCATAATAATAGAACAAAACAAACAAAGGAACAAAACAATATATACAAATAACAACAGCAAAACAACATATATATATATATATAGATACATATTAATACTTATATATATATATATATATTTATTTACATTAATATATATATATTATATATATTATATATATTCTTACCTAGGTGTAGATCGAGGACCCCGAAAGGGTGTGGGGTGTTGGTGAGGTGTACGTACAGCTCGCGATTGACGATTTCTCTTTCTGCAAGTTTAGCGATTTGTTCTTTGCCCAGTACATCAAATTGAACCCGATCAACTGAGAAAGACTTCTCATTCTCTATTAGCAGACTTTTTAGAGACACTGCGCGTCTTACTGCAGCACTTCTCATTAATGTTGTTAGCGCTTCAGACCTCTGAGGTATGCTTGCAAGTGTCGGGCCCCCGCATACACCTTCTTCTTCTTCTTCATTTAAAGGGGCACCAGGGGATCCAGGGGGGGCCCCTGGGGGCCCCCAACCACCCTCATATCTACTAGCAGTACCCTCAGAGGTAATAGGATTGACCTCAGGGGCCCCTGGGGGCCCCCACGTACCCTCATTAATAGTAGTAGTAGTAGTAGTAGTACCCTCAGGGGCCCCTGGGGGCCCCCGAGTACCCTCAGAGGTTATAGTAGAAGTAGTACCCTTGGGGGCCCCTGGGGGCCCCTGTTGATAAGACTGAGAAGATAAAGAAGTAGAAACCCCTGAGTCACCTTGAGAAGATGCAGCTGCTGCTGGGGGCCCCCTGGACTGGCTGGGGGCCCCTGAGGATACAGCTGGTGCTGCTGTTAGAGGCATCTGGGAGCCTATTAAGCTGAGTTTAGAGGTAAACACTCATTGATAGAAAGGAGATTAAAAAGAGACAGATAAAAGAGACTACAAGGAGACAGATAAACACGCATGCGTACAGCACCAGAGCTGCTGCTGCTGCATGCAGATGCAAACCCTACTGTATATGCAGCACCTAAAGAAGAAGAAGAAGAAGAAGAAGAGCGAGAAAGAAAGTAATAAAATGACTTAAAACAGAGACAAACAAACAAACAACAGATTAAAAGAAGTAACAGATGAAGGCCCTCCCAGCCCTAAACAGAGACGCTGCGGGGAAGAGTTAAACTTCTGCTGCTGCTGCTGCTGCTGTTGCTGCTGCTGCTGTTGCTGCTGCTGCTGCTGCTGTTGCTCCTGCTGCTGTTGTTGCTGCTGCTGCTGCTGTTGCTGCTGCTGCTGCTGCTGCTGCTGCTGCTGAAGCAGAAGAGTGAAGGGGGGCCCCGCTAGGGAGAGGGATATAGCGAGAGATGAGGGCCCCCCAGGGTTTCTAGAGGGTTTTCTGGTGTCTGTATTAATGTTTATTTGTTTGTATATTCAATATAAAAAGAAATAAACAAAACAGAAGAAAGATAGAAGCAGCCCCTCAAGAGCATCGACGATGTATAACACACCCAGGCTGTTGATGCTAGTAAACCCCGACCAAACCCTAAACCCTAAACCCTAAACCCTAAACCCTAAAACCTAAGTATTTTAAATCTTGCATGCTACACTATAAACAATTAAATATAAACTCTTTAAAAGCAAACAACCGAAAATAAACAAAGAGGGGCCCCGTGGGGCCCCCAGCCCCCCCTCAGGCCGTGCAGAAGCGACGGGAGGGGCCCCAAACCCTAAACCCTAAACCCTGAACCCTAAACCCTGAACCCTAAACCCTGAGGAATTGCCTCTAAGCATAGCCTCATGCATATATTAACAAGAAAGGGGCTCTACAGGCTCTTCCTTAGAAAGACTTATCATTTAGGGTTTAGGGTTTAGGGTTTAGGGTTTAGATTGGCTGAGCAAAGGGGCTGCTCTCTCTCCTTTTCTTATAGACCCTGATTGTTAATATACTTTTAATTTATTTTCTTCTTCTTTATTCTTCTTTCTTTTTGCTCTTTTGCCGGCAGCTTCTCCTCCGGGGGCCCCCAAATAGACAGGGGGGCCCCTCTTCTCTGCTGTATATTAATAGAAAGTATATCAAAACGCTGAGGCGTCTTAACAGCAGCAAGAGCAGCAGCAGCAGCAGCTTCTGCTGCTGCTGCTGCTCTCGCTGCTGCTGCTGTTGCTGCTGCTAGGAGAGCGATAAGAAGTGAAGCTTCTGATAGGGTTTCTTATACTAAACCCTGCTAATGCCTGGGGGGCCCCCCGGGGGGCCCCCAGGGGCCCCCAGACCTCGCACTGTTGATAATCGACTGAGTGCTGCTAATCAGCGTCTGTCTTCTCTTGATTTCACGTGAGATGAAGAATAAAATAAAATAATAAAAGGAGACACAGAGACAGAGACAGAGACGAAGAAGAGACAGAGACAGAGACAGATATAGGGCTAGAGATTGAGCTTGAAACAAAAGAAAAACAATAAACGGAGACAGAGAGAAGAGACAGAGAAGAGACAGAGATAGAGACAGAGACAGATAGATAAAGAGGAGACAGAGACAGAGACAGTAAAGAGACAGAGAGAAAGCAAGAGAGTCAGAGACATATATATATATATATATATGTATATATATATATATATATATATATATATATTTGTATATATATAAAGAGAGACAGAGAAGAGACAGAGACAGAGAGGAGACAGATATAAAGATAGCGACACACAAAAAGACAGAGACAGAGACAGATATATATATATATATGTATATATATCTATATATATATATATATATGTATATCTGTATATATAGAAAGAGAGACAGGGAGAGACGGAGACAGTCAAAGGCACCTGCATAATTTTTACGTTTGCTGTTGTTGCGTATGTTTTAATATATTTATTTTATTTGTTTTATTTCTTTTACTTGTTTTATTTATTTATTTTGTTTTGTTTGTTTTATTTATATATATTATTTATATTATTTATTGTATTTGCTTCATTTGTTTTGTTTGTGCTGCTGCAGTGCGAGCGAAATAATATCTTATATTTTGTCTCTGCCGGAGCCCCTACCTTCTGTTGTTCTTTCTTCTCCTCTTGGCTGCTGCTGCTGCTTGCGATCTCTCAATGCATTTGATAGACATGTGCTGCTGAGGCTGCTGCTGCTGCAGCAATCTGTCTCCGAAAGGGCTATGCGCCTTTGGGTCTCCAGCGGCTGTGTGGGGCAGCTGCGACGCTCGCTGCAGCGCCTGGTAGCAGCAAAGTTTATTCGTGCAATAGAACCTCCTGCTGCTGCTGCTGCTGCTCCTGCTGCTGCTGGTGCTGCTGCTGCTGCTGCTGCTCCTGCTCAGCCGGTGGCGGCGACGGGTGCGGGTGAGGCTGCGCAGGGGACTGCTGCTGCTGCTGCTCCTGCATCTGCTGCAGCACCAAACGCAGCAGCAGCAGCAGCAGGAACAGCAGCAGCAGCAGCGCCCAATGCATCCCGCGGCGCGCAGCAGCAACAGCAGCAACAGCAGCAGCAGCGGCACTCTACGGGCAACAGCAACAGCAGCAGCAGCAGCAGCCACAAACAGCAGCAGCAGCAGCAGCACCAGCACCAGAAGTCGAAGCAGCAGCAGCAGCAGCAGCAGCATCGGGTGACGCAGTATGCACTCAACCCTGCGTTTCAGAAGACCTTGCTGCAGGTGCTGCTAGAGGGGCCCCCGCGCTCTCCTCTACCTTTTATTTTGCTGCCTCCTAAGACGAGCTTCCCGTCTAAAGAGCTGCTGCTGCAGCACAGCCGCATGCAGTGGGATCGTCTCCTCCAGCGGATCCTGGGGGCCCAGCGAGGAAGCAGCGAAGCAGATAATGCTGCAGCACCCCACTCCCCAGACCTCATCGAAGTACACCCTAAACCCTAAACCCTAAACCCTAAACCCTAATTAGCGTGAAAGAATACCGCAAAGCCTTACTCATTCACCGGGTAGAGGATACACGGATAAGTATTTGCGATCGCAGGCAGAGAGGGTTTAGGGTTTAGGGTTTTAGGGTTTTAGGGTTTAGGGTTTAGGGTTTGTGTGTTTGTAGGTGCTTCGCCGCAAACGTCTGCTGTGTCAAGGGGGTTCTTCTGCTCCTTTCTTACAGCAGCAGCAGCAGCAGCAGCAGCTGTCTGTATATGCTGGCGCAGCTGGGTCTACTGCTGCTCCCAGCAGCAGCAGCAGCAGCAGCACAGAGTGTGTGATGGCTAAAGAAGCTTTCTCCTGGTTGTTAAAAGATTTAAAGGCGCAGCTCTGCTCTCTTTTAAGCGAATTTTTATTCATTGTAGATGGAGGGGTGCTGAGTAATGCAGCGTACGAAGCAGCAATACGCAGCAACAGCAGCAGCAGCAGCAGCAGCAGCAGGAACACGGGAAAGGGAAGCAAGAGGCCCCACAGCAGCAGCAGCAGCAGCAGCAGCAGACCGGTAGCAGACGAGGAGGAAGCAGATATAGACAATCCTCAGGAAGCCTCAGCCACATTAATTGAGAAGAAGCAGCAGGAGGTGCCAGCCGTTGCTGCTGCTGTTGCTGCTGCTGCTGTTGCTGTTGCTGCTACTGTTGCAGTTGCTACTGCTGCTCTTCCCGTTCCTGCTGTTGCTGCTCTTAGTGCTGTTGCTGCTACCTATGATCTTGCTGGTTTCTGTTGGGCCCATTTGCTGCTGCAGTTACTGCTGCTCCTGCTTCTCTTGCTTTTGTTTCTGCTGCTGTTGCTGCTACACGACTCGTTTTGCTGCTGCATTTGCTGCTGCTGATGCTTTGCTGTCGTTGCTGCTGCTTCTTTCGTTGGTTGCTGAGCCATGGTGCTGCTGCTGCTGCTCTTGCTGCTGCTACTGCTCTTGCTGAAGCTGCTGCTGCTGCTGCTGCTGTGTGTATGTGTGTGCGAACAGATGCAGGAGACTCTGCTGCTGCTGACAGCAATAGCGGAAGCCCCTGTGGGGCAGCCGTTCTCTGCTGCGCACATGACAGAGCCTCAGCTGCGTTTGCTGCACTTGTGTTTAGATCTGGGGATCGTGTGGGGCCCCCCAGGGCTGCGGCTGCGAAGGGGGGGAGGGGCCTCTCACCACCCCACATCCGGGAAGAGTCGCGGGAAACGCTCGGGATCGGGATCGGGATCGGGGAGCGGATCCCAGTTTGTGTTTGCCGCCCCACACGCCTTGCTTATAAGGAGTACTTCGCAGGCCTCTCAAGATACCTCGGGCCAGCAGCAGAGGGGAACGAAAGCAAACTCATTAATCAGCAGCAGCAGCACCACATCATACACAAAGGAGACAGCAGCAAAAGCAGATGCATCTTCTCTTACTGCAGGCCCTTATCACCCTTGGCTCCAGGCTGACGACAAGTATACCCATCATTTGCTGCTGCTGCTGCTGCTGCTGTTCCCGCTGCTGCTACTGGTGCTGCTGTTCCCGCTGCTGCTGCTGCTGCTGCTGTTCCCGCTGCTGCTGCTGCTGCTGCTGATGCTGCGACTTCCTATGGCGCTACTGCATTTTTGCTGTTCTTTGCTGTTGGTACCGTTACTGCTGCTGCTGCTGCTGCTGCTGTTTCTTTGTGTTTGTTTCTTGTCTTTTATCGCTGCCTCTGCTTTGCTGTCTTTGCGTATGCCTTTGTTGGGGTGTATGCGGATGTCAGTGGGCTGTCTTGTTGGTTGTTTGTTGTTGTTGCAGCGTCTGTGGGGATCGTTCGGGATCGGGATCGGGATCGGGTTTGTTATCTCATGTGCATGCATTTGGAGCTGTGGGGTCTCAGCCTGCTATATTGGTCGAGACGAATTTTCGAGTGTATATGTACACTGCATCGCCGCTTCATGTCTCTGTGTTGTCACACTTATGCGAGCTTGCAGTCCGTCTCCCGAACTTAGTTGTGGGGGTTTTATCTAGAGCTTCAGTGTTAGGTGCATTTAAAGTAGGCATTACAGCTGAGCAGATAATAGGTTTCTTAGAGGCGTACATACACCCTATAGCTCGAGAACGAGCTGTGCGTTATAATAAACCTCTTATCCCTGAGAATGTTGAAATACAGTTGAGGATGTGGGAGCAAGAAAGAAGAAGGCTGTCTCTTAAACCTGCAGTTGTGTTTAAAGGCTGGGATGAAGCTCTATTACCCGATCTATTTCAACGCAGTGTACGCTGGGCTGTCTCAAAGGCATGCGCTCTTTATTATACTATGTGGCCTCAAGATCAAGATAGCCCTGAGTATCACCAGTGGATTCAAAGAGAAAAATATTTAGTTATTCATGAAGACGCTAAACCAGAGATGGTAATGAGGATTAGAGAGCTTAGAGAAGAATTACTTGCTTTAAGGGCGGGTGCTGAGCATCAATAACAATTAATATATTTATTATTCTTATGTCTCTTCTTTTATTCTTTTATTTCACATACACATACTCATAACTATTTTAACATAATGCAGAGAAGACCCGCACACATACACCCCACATACACCCCACGTACACTTGCATGCATACACATACACCCCAACATCAATAAAATATCATTTTATATACTAATCTAACTCTATAACCTCTATATATTTATCTCGGCCTGGCTCGGCCTTAGTGTTGCGCCTACAGGTGCAGCCCCATAAGAACCCTCTTTTAGCTAGCTAGCTAGCTAGCTAGCTATCTAGCTAGCTGGCTAGGTAGCTAGCTAGCTAGCTGGCTAGGCAGCTAGCTGCTGCAGTTGGTGTTCTGTTATATTGGGGGCATCCCAGTACCTATGCTGTATTTCTTTGCTAAAACTCTTCTTATAGAGCCCTCAACTCAGTTACTCAGTTAGCAGCGGAGTGTATAGGCAGCTGCTTTTCTCTGTTTTTTTCAAGAGATATAAATATATTAAGAGGCTTCAGCAGCAGCAAGCTAATAAATAGCTTGCTGCTGCTGGATAGGGTTGAGGGCAGCAAATATATACAACATTATTAGGCGCTGTTTTGATATTTATTTTCTTAAGACTTTTTTATATTTTATATTCAAGAGTGTCTCTATACTTTTTTTATTAACTTTGTTTATTCTACCCATGCTGATGAACTCCCTTAGAAAAGATTAAAATGCATGCATATTTTGCTGTTAAAAATTATAAACAAGTTTTAACTTATTCATATGTTTATTAATTTCTATTTATATGTCTCCTTTAATCTCTACTTATTATTTTTAGTCTCTGTTTATCTTCTTTAATCTCTATTTATTATTTTTAATCTCTATTTATTATTTTTAATCTCTATTATTCTCATTTGCAGTAATAAAGACTTCATAGACGAGTGCGCTGCTGTATGTACACTGGAGGTCTGAAGACCCTACAGAAATTCAATATATATATATATATATGTATTATAGTATACTTTCTATATATATATATTATATATTATAGATATATTATATATATCTATTATATAATATATATTATATATACATCATTGCAATTCATTTTAATCTTTTATCTCAGCTGTCTTCAAATAAAAGATTAAGGCCTCCAATAAGAGATGCGTGGCAATGCATGCATGCATGCATATATACATGCATGCATGCATGCACACATGTATATATGCATGCATCCAAGCTGACTGCTTTAGATTTATTTATTATTAATAAATAACTTTGCAGCAAACGGCGTTGGAGATTTCCTAGGATTGAATTATTAACTGAAATTAATTACATTGTACTGAAAAGATATACTTTAAAACAAATAAATTATTAACACAGTGTTAAACAATTATGCGGGCTATGTATATAATATATATATGTATATATAATATATATATATATATATATATATATATATATATAT